AGAGAGAGAGAGAGTGAAATTGATGATTATTAGTGGAAATCATGTTCATGTTTTGTTTCATATAATGCGCTTTACACCAAACTTACAACCTTGTAATTTATGTCACTATTGGTAGAACTTGATGTCACACCCACTGCCAGTGATTCTATGGGAAGACCCAATTTACTGAAAATGGTAACTACCATCCTCAAGTCCATCTTGGATGCTGCGGCCCTAAGGCTTATTTCCCATTCTCAAAAAAGGTGCTTGCTCTTTGCATCAGCATATATCAAATACGTCAACTCAATTCTTCATACTCCCAACCAACATCACTCCAATTCACGAATGAAGTTGGGAGATTCTAAGCTCACTTCTCTTTATCTCAAAAGCTCATTCAGCTATGTTGCCAAGCTTCTCAATTGGTTTCTCACAGATCCCCACCTTTCTCACTTGTTGGTAGCTGCTTCTTACTTAGCGAGCGACCTACTAGACCTTTTCTCTTTCTTGGAGCCAAGCCTTGGATCCAGGCACACATCTTGGTTTGCACCAACGGCCAAGCCATGGTTGCCTGACCTGATTCTTGCATTGGGTTCAAGATGGATCAAGGATGAGGAGCCAGACAAATTGGTTCATGAAGAGGCAGATAAGGGTAGGGAATGTCCTATGTGGATCCAAACTCTCGCTAGTCTTGAACTTGCTGAAATTGATCTTTTAAATAATCAGGAAGTCAAGGAAGAGAGTGAAAGTAGCAGTTTCTCAAGTGGAGGCCATTCTTTGTTTAAGAAGCTTGTTGGAATGGTTGTTGAATTGTTGAGGAAAGGGGATCCTAAAATCAGGTGGGCTATTGGTGCCTTCTTCATGTCATGGTTGGAGTGTGGGTTGGCAAGAAAGGATTGTGGTTTGGTGCTTGGGCTTGTGAGGTTTGTGTATGTGAAGGTGATGGGCTGTGGAGATGGTTGTTGTGTGGAGGACCATGGCATGATGGTTGGGTGCATGAAAGAGATTTTATCCATAATAGATGAAGCTTTACAAGATTCAGGGGTTGGCCAAGAAGGCAAGAAGAAGTTGCAAACTGCAAATGCCATGCTTGAATCTGTATGTATGCTTCATGCATAATGTGGTCTTTCCTCCATGACATGGTTCCATAATGTATGATGCGAATTTCATGCATGGGATGCTTCTAGTGACATTTGTGTATGTGAACTTGTGTAATTAAAGTATTTGGCGGGAAGTTGCAGCCACTTCTTGGCATTTCTTTACATGTTATCCAGTATTCTTCGTCAATCTGGTGTTTTATGTTTTTTCTTTTATCCTTGCATCAGAACTATTCTCTTTTTTATTGTTTGGTGAGACTTGTAAATAAAATAATTTTTCCACCCAACAATTCTCCTTGCTTCAGAACTACTCTAGAAACATGTATTTTCTAGCCTCTCTGCATAATAATGACATTATTTTCTCCTTAAATTTTTTAGTATGGTAATTTCTCAAGAACTTTTCAAACTTTTGTTTTTAGCAAGTTCAATAAGTATTAGAAGAAGAAAATGATTCTAACCTTTAGAAAGCATTTTTTTTATATGATTTGTGTATATAGTTGCCAAGGAAAAGATAATCCCATGATATTGTGGAAAATTTACTCTATGCAGTTTTTTTTTTATTGTTAATTTATACAGATTCTTACAGGCTTTTCATAATGGACGTCACGATTTACAAATATATGAAGTCATCCATGCCTTTCGATATATTCGAGCAAGATGAAAGACGGATAGCAACGATTAAGGCTAATTAATAGAGTGAGTGCCGTTTCTTAGCGAGCGTGACTAAAGAGAAACCAAGGATTAAGGCTTGCAATAGAGCGAGCGCACTAGTCTCTTAGAAAGGTTGCTCGTCAAGAGCTGCCAATGTTTTTGACTTGGCTTCGTTCATACAGGCCAAGTCTTAAACCAAAATTGAAGCGAAGTGAATAATAAAATTTTTGGTACGATTTGGGTTTCTTCGGCATTTTTCCCCCTTCTCCGAAACTATAAAACCTTTGAATTGCTGGGATTTGGGCCTCTTTGGCCTTCGGGCAAACTTCATCAGGGCATAATTGATATTTTTAATGTATCAAGCACAAATTCAAGTAAAAATAAAAGCGAAAATTTTGCCCCAACGAATATAATACTATAGAGAGGGTCATTGTTTCTTTAAAGGGGGAAACGACCATTTTTTTCACCATAGAAAATTTCTCTTTATCATTCTTCTAGTTTTTTCTTTCTTTTTATATATATTTTTAATTATTTTAACAATTTTTTAGAAGAAACCCCAAACACTTCTGCCACAGCATCCAAACCACCGAAAAGCTTCCCTTTGCCAACAAAGTCAAAGAAGCCTTTGAAGTACTTACCCCAAAAAAAAACAGAACCCTTTGAAGTGAAACTGACCAATTGATAGTAACAAATCTGGACAAACCAAGAATCTCAAAATATCACAAAAACTGAAAATTTCTTAGGTTCCTTTAGTCGCCACTTTTTGCATGTAGCAATAAATTGGCACATGATTTCATTTAAAATGCCTCTTGTTCTCTATAAAAAGTAAGCATACATTAAGAGAATGTAGACATCAAGAAAGTTAAGATAAAAAACCCTCTCGGTTTAAGAGGATCCTAGGATGCAGACATCAAGAAAGTTAAGATCCAAAACCCTCTCGGTTTCAACATATACAGTAGCATAAACAAATGAATCAGATGCATATACAAAAAGGTCTGATCAGCAAAATAAACAAAACTTTGAATATCTCATCCCACATTAGTAAAGCCCTATCCTAACATACCAAAATTACTGGTTTTCTCTGCACATTTTCCTTGTGGACCTCAAAAATAAACTACATGGAACACACCATTTTTTTTTTTTGGTGAACCCCTTCGATCTTCAGAGATGCTGTCACCTCATTTTGCTTTGTTTCTTCAGACAGGGATCTTCTTAATCATTGCAGCAATTGGCATCCCTAGGAATCCAATCAGAATACTGGCAAACCACTGGGTCAATGTAAGTGGGATTGTGTTTGCAAAAGTCCCGAGGTATTCAATAATTATGACTTGGAACACGACTGTGCATGAGAGAACCGCCACAAATACATAGTTGTCCAATATGCCTTTGAACACATTGATCTTCTCCATCTCTCTGGAGTTTATCTCATTGAAAACCTGCAGAGATAGACATAAAGACCTTTCTTTAGTGCAAATTACAAGACAAAATCGTGACATGAGTATTACTCAGTATGAAACTGTGACTAATAGGCTTGGCAAAAAAGTATGGATCCAAAAACTAACTTGATCAAAAGCAGCTTTGGGTTTTTACATTGCAAATGGGGTTGCAGCTAACTGCAAAGAATATTTCTTCATTGCTTGTTTTTTTTTTAAACTTTTCTTCATTGCTTGTTACCCAAATAAGACATTCATCCATGGACATTCTCAGGCAACCTCTGTCCTTCAAAGTTTTTTAGCCCTCAAAATAGATTGAACCTCGTGTGCCAATTTCTACATGCCACAACCAAGGCAATTGGCATGACAAAGTTCTATGGCCAACTGGATCCAGAATCTATTTAATTCTTACCAAGTGTTGTGGTAAAGAGTTGAGCATAATCTTTTGTATATGCCTTGCTCCAGTAAGACTTAAATGAAAGAAGTTTGATGTGACGCTATGCAACATTGATTACCTGGCAAAAGACGAATGAGTTGAAAATCAGAGTATTCAAAACGGGATCAGTATCCGGCCCAGCCAGTCGAAAAATCCCTTTTCCTTCTGTTTGGAGATAACGTATCACGGTGAACTGATATACAGCTTGGCCTAAAATGTTCCTCCACATCACATTGCTTATAAAATTCCCTTTCCTTCCAACTGGGGCTCTTTTCATAAGGTCATCTTGAGGGGGCTCAGTGGCTAATGCAAGTGCCCCTAATGTATCCATAATCATGTTCACCCAAAGAAGCTGAACAGCAGTAAGTGGGGCTTTACCTAAACAAAAGAACAGGCGCAAAATAAAGGTTAATATAGAAAGGCCCAAAATTAAAGTCGATCATCTATTCGTATTCTCTCTGACTGCAGGGAAAGTGTCCTATAGTCGAATGGACTGTGGAAAACCAGAACGGAAGCAATCGAAGCAGGAATCGTGTGCAATGCTTGACCCTACTGTCTCCATAGCACGGTCCATCATTTAATTCTGCATTTATGGGCTACATGGTTTTATGTGGTCCATTGGACCATTGTTACTTTCCCCGACTAAGAGTATGAGAATAGAAAAGAACAATTTTAAGCAATATGATATATACCTGTCAGGCAGGCTGAAGAAAAGTTCACAATTAGGGCAACCACATTAACTGTCAACTGAAACTGCACAAACTTTTGGATGTTGGTGTATACGGAACGGCCCCATTTGGCTACAGTCACAATAGTGGAGAAATTATCATCCAATATAATGACATCCGCACTCTCCTTTGCCACCTGCAAGAGGCATGCACGCATATATAGTTACGATTCATTTCTTGCAAAAAAAAATGTTCTAAAAGGATTTGTATGCCTCTATCATTAGTTTCTGGGAAATTTGTATGGATCAAACATTCCTTCTTGAACAACTAGAAGATTCCCATCAAATGTCTATCTTCCAGGGCACACTTTGAGGTGCAGCACTTAACCCAGGAAGTCTCGTTTCCATTTTCTGTTTTCCCCCTTTCTTTCGTAGTAGAAACAGAAATTAAGGAAATGTTCAAATGTTAAAGGTTGAGAGGATCAGACTAACCCAAACTCTTCTATTCATATTAACAATTCCTTAAGTGAAAAGATTGGGATGTACATCAAAATTGGGAATTCCCTCAAGAGGTTTTTTTTTTAAATCTGAACTTTTCAGGGATTTTATCCAGCTTACAAAAAATGAGGGAGAATTTAGAGGAGAAATAAATGAAAATGGGAAATAGAAAGAGAAATATTTTGGAGAAACATCACAATTTCGTGGGACTCTTATGTGAAACTATGACAAGAAATTGAAAATGCCCAAGGCATGAATCTCAGCTAACCGACCCAACAAAAAGAATTTCTAAACATTGTAGGATTCTTAAAATCTTGCAGAAAAAGTATAATTTTAGAAGGATCTGGTTTATATACCATCTGTGAAAGTCCAAACTATCACGTTCATACAGAAGAAAAGGTCAGTGATTCAAACGAGTGCAGCGACTTAAGGATTTCGCAAAGTAAGTTGGTTGTCTGAATCCAGGCAGACCCTCCTGCCTGGAGAAAAAAATGTTTTGACCAGTTTTTAAGAAGTTTGTCCTATGTCATATATTTCCCATTCTCATAAACATCAGCTTCTCTTTTGGCCATAGACATGAAAGAAGTAGAACTCCTTTTGTTCTAATTTTGTACAGCCTGCCCATAGGCACAGTAGCATATGCATGATGATGAGCAAGTACAACAATTTTATGCGAAAATGAGTAGCTGATTCAAATACCTCAGTCCCAGCAATTCCCATTGCAAGTCCAATGTCTGCCTCATGGAGGGCTGGTGCATCATTTGTGCCATCACCAGTTACAGCAACAACTTCATTGAATGTGGTACGAAGCTGTTTCACCAAGGTATGTTTATCTAGAGGTGAAGATCGTGCCATCACCTGAGATCCCACAGCAATGCAACATTTTAGTCTCACAGTAAGGAAACTATACTGAAATTGACCAAAATCAAATTGAATCTCAGAATACGAAAGCAGACCCTTATTTCAAAAAACAAATAGATATATTCAAACCGACTAAAATCAAATTTATTCACATTAATCTCACAATAATGAAACAGACCCTTTTTCATAAACCAGAAACTATCCTCAAACCAACTAAAATCAAATTGGAAAATGTCAATTCAAAATAAGTATGCAGGTCCATATTTATGCAGGTCCATATTTCCAAAAGCCAAACTATACTCAAACCAACTAAAGTCAATTGTTTGAGAAAGGTCACCTGAATTTTTGGAATCAGTTCATTCAACTCTTCCTGACTCTTTTTGCGAAATTCCGGGCCTTCAATTGCCACCCCACCATCAGTCAGAATTCCACATTCCCTAGCAATGGCCTTTGCTGTACTTATGTTGTCTCCTGTTACCATCCTAACAGTAATCCCAGCTGACCTACAAATCTCAACAGACTGCTTAACACCAGGGCGAACAGGATCCTTAATACCAACAATACCAATACATGTATAACCATCCAATGGGATTTGATCCCCAATTGGAAAGCTATTCTCCAGTTCAACATACGCAAGGCACAATGTACGAAGGGCCTCACTAGCAAAGCTTTCGATGGTATTCTTGAGATGGTTCATAGTCGCTTCATCGAGGGGGACAACCTTACCAGTTGGGTCTATGACCTTATCACAAGCATCCAAAATTATTTCCGAAGCACCCTTACAATGGGCCCTTAATTCTCCATTTGGCAGTTGGATGACAACAGCCATTCTCTTCTTTGCAGAATTGAAAGGTTCAACTTTCAAAAGTGAGCATTCTTGGCGCTCTGCCTCAAAATTACCACCAAGGGATAACCCAAACTCCAAAATAGCAGTTTCAGTTGGGGTGCCTAAAATCTCAAGTTTTCCATCTTGGGTTATCACAACATCACCGCCTGTATTGTTAAAAATTGATTCCAGAAGAAGTTTTAGGGCAGAATCAGGGATATGAGAGCACATGTTTCGAGCTTCCTCAGAGCTACCCACTTCTTTAATATTCCCACAAATGCAAGCTTTTACAACAGTCATGTGGTTGGTGGTTAGTGTACCTGTTTTATCACTACAAATTCCAGTAGCTGAGCCCATTGTTTCACAGGCGGCAAGGTGCCTGACCAGTGCCTTATCATTCATCATTTTCTTCATGGCAAATGCCAAACTCAAAGTGACAGCCAATGGCAAGCCTTCAGGAACTGCCACAACAACAATGGTCACTGCAATAGCAAAATATTCCAACATTTCCAGGGCCTCATCTCCAGTCCATATCCATTGCCGACCCTCTTGGATCTTCTTGCTTAGAAGGCTTTGAACCAACACAGCAAATGTAATTACAGCAAAGAACAATCCAATCTTCCCAATGATTGTGGCCACACCGTTCAACTTGACCTGCAATGGAGTTTCATCATCCCCACCTTCACTGAGAGTTGCCATTAGTTTGCCCCACTGGGTTCTCATACCAACAGTTGTTACAAGCATCTTGCATGAGCCATCTTGGACCTTAGTACCAGAAAGAAGAAATGGGTTGTCTTTGTTCACAGTTACTGGTTCGCTCTCTCCTGTTAAACTCGATTCATTGATCAGAACAGAAAATCCAAAGATAAAAAGCCCATCAGTAGGGACTTGGTCTCCAATAGAGAGATGAACAATATCACCAGGAAGCAAATCATATATCGAGAGCTTTTGCCTATACCCATTTCTTGTAACCTGAATTGATATCTTCTTTTTTTCCTTGTCCAAATCTTTGAACTGTAGAGACTGGCGATAATCACTAGTTGCAGTGACAAAAACCACCAGTAATATGCTCAGTACAATTCCAATGCCATCATGGGCACCTTTTGGCCAACCCTCAGTGGCAATTCCAACAAGCAAAGATACAAAGGCACACACTGCAAGGATCATAAGAGTCATGTCTTGGAGGGCTTCCCATACAAAGACCCAAAAGCCACGAGGTGGGCTTTCAGTGAATCTATTGACCCCATAAATTTCTTGTCTAGTTTTCAGTTTATTATCATCAGTTGTAATAATCCCATCAGTGGTTGATGTAGAAAGCTTGTTTGCTAAACCTTCGATGCCACCATGGACTTTGAGTTTCTTAACATCATGTCCTTCGACAATGGAACCCAACTCATCAGCACAAATCCCAAAACCGGCAGCTTTTACTCCACTGGGTACAATATATTCACCGGAAAACGTAATCCCTGTATGCACATATGGAAACTTGGATTAACTAAGAAGTCCACAGATTTGAAATTGCACATCCTAATCCAAGTTGTGAAAAGGAAAAATATCATAAGGAGGAAAAATTAAAAACCAACGCTTACCATTGATAAACTGAAGTGCAGCTTTTGAGACTAAAACAGCAACCCTTAACTTCTCCTGCAAGGTCGAATAGATTATTCAATTTCTCACAACAATCCATCCTAATGAATTCTTGTAATTAATGCGGTACCTACTCTAATTCAGCAACAAATACTGTGTTTCCCAGATTCTGAACGATTCAATAAAACTCACAACTGCAAACTGCTGCTTGGTAGACCGATTCATCGTAGTTTTTACTTTTAAGTTCATAAATCATTTATAGGACCTTAAACTTTCCCGTACCCGTCCCAAACCCGGGTAAAGGAGGTGTGTTGCATTAAATAGGCAGCCGGTGTAAAACTTTGTCACATCTTATCATGAATCCTGAAGCTATATTATGGTAGGCTTAGAAAGACATAGATAGAAGTAGTGCGAAAAGATATGTTGACTTTTGGTCTTACCGAGGAGTATGACCCTTAATAAATAAGAATGGAGGAACAAGATTCATGTAACCGACCCCGAATAATTGGGATAAGGCTTGGATGATGAAATCATCTGTAAGACTTTCGTTCTATTTTTGGGTCGTGCAGTAAATTAAATTGATGTGCATTGTGAAAAGCTAAATAATCAATTGTAACCATTTTCTTCTAGGCCTCCAATCTGAATATAACTTAAAAATTATTTGAAACAGTTCAATTTGATGTAAGGATACTGTACCTTTTACCTTAATAAGGGTTCATTATTATGTGATTTTTTTGTTGTTGTTGTTGCTTTTTCTTTTCTTTTTATAGTTAACAAGCATAATATCGCATTCACAGATGGCCAGCTGCATCACAACCAAGGGTGGGTCATATATAGGGAATAAATCTGAAGGAATTAGGAGATTTTCCCATTAAAATGGGTCCTCTCCAAAAAATATCCACATATGTCAGAGAATAAGCTTTCTCATTACCTTCCCAGTTCATGTAAGAGAAGCAATTGCTCCTTCCATCTGTGTTACATAGACAAGGCCATGGGTGTAGTGTCCAGTACATGTCTTGAGTGTTTAGAACTTTGGTACGGCCAGACAAACATGAAAATATAACAATTATCAAACTTGAAAATATAATTTTATTTTATGCAAGAAAGGATAAAAAACATATTTTTTTATATTTTCTCTTTCAAAATGATCCAAGCTCAAATTCCACCAAGTATAATTACATTTCAGAATATGCAAAAGTTTTTAAAATTTAAAATAATGTTGCATAAAAACTTCGACATTTCTTTGCACAAAATTGTTGTCTTCTATTAAGGCATTTTTCTTGATTAGATAGGCTTCCATTAAGTAACTATTTTTAACTTATATAATTAATTATTTGCTAATAATTAACAAAAATGTTCTCTCCATGTGATGGTAGCCCTTACTACACACTCCCAGTCCCCACACATCATGGGTTCCAATCTTGACCTTTTTATTCTAAAGCACATTTTAAAAAACCCACTTTAAAAAAAAACACCATATGATTAGATATGGTGTTCTCTTGGCTCCAAAGACTCTAATCTACCGTATGGGTGACAAGACCTTAGTTGTAAAACGAGTGACGAAACTTCTATTCAAAGTGTCAACAAATATTGAAATTCAATCAAATCACCCGACACATATGGCCGGTGTGTTGGGCGTCTGAACGTGTTGACACGTGTTGACGTGCGACACAAGGGGGAAGATGTCGCATTACCTTCCATGATGTTAGTGACTCCCCAAGGTCATTCCCATATTGGTATAACCCATCTTATGGTGTTTAGTCATTGATTTAGTCATTGATTCACCACCAATAAGTGCCTAAGAAGAGGTAGAAGAGGATTTTATTTGACATTTGTGGATGATTCTTTCAGGAATACTTCAATATATTTCAAACACAAATTTTGTCTATTAGTTTACTTCTAAAATTTGCATGATGGTTGAAACCTGATCAACAATATGAATTGTACAGTCAGATTTTGGGCAAAAGCATATTACGAATGAATTTAAAAACCACATAGCAACAGATGGTATTGACCCCAAAATGTCTTATGATTCTTATCCATATATTTCCACAGCAAACTGGAAAAGCAAAAGAAAATATAAACACTTTTCAAACTGACATGTTTTGATTGTCTTGTACTCCTTATAAGAGGCGCATAAGCTGTTATTTATAACTGTGTATTTAATTTAAAGAGCTCTAAATTCAACCAAAGTCCTCGTCTGTGAAAAACCAAAGTGCTCATACTAATTTCTTGCACTCTTCAATCTCTCAAATAAGTCTGATCTAAAATCTGACAAATTGTCTTCTTTAATGGTGTTTTCATTGGACCCGATATGACCAAATGGACAAAAAATATTCCTATTTCTATGCAGATCCCCAGGGGGATGATAATGGATGACAAAAGAACAAAAACAGAAATTATGAAGAGATTTGACACAATCTGAAGATTCAGTAACTCAGCAACCAACAACTTCTAGCAGTTTCATGAATACCCAATAACATAATACTTTCATAGATGGTCATCTGTATTCCTAACATCTCAGCTAAAACCGAAGGGAAAAAAAAACACGAAAATATTGATTCCTTCGGTAAATCGGTAAATAGGCACCATCCAAATCCATCTCTAAAACGAGAAAGAGAGAGAGATATCAACCTGATTGGTCTTGCGCATGGCCTGGGCCTCCGATCTCTTCGACAAGTTTGCGGTGAACCGAAATCTTCGTTTCGGGTTCTTCACGATGCCACAGAGTCTTCGCCATCGCCTCAGAGCCTCCTCCGAAGAGTGCTTAGGCCTCACCCCTCCAAAATTCTCATTAAGGTAGCTCTCCATTCTTGCTTCTCTCTCTATCAAAGTCTCAAAACCTTCAAACCCAAGGTTCAAATATACAAAAGCAAGGGTCCGAAATGTACGAAACCGCGTGCTTTTTCAAAAGCAGTATAGCAGGGGAAACTACAGTGAAATTTCCTTTGACCAAACATGGATCCTGGTCATTTCCACCGTGTATCTGAAAAATGTCAGCTTTAGCCGCAAAAGCAACAAATGGGTTTTAATGGCCTCGCAAAAATGGAGATGGCTTCTAGTGACTGAGAAGTGCCTGAAATTGAAGCAATCGAATGTTGTGGAATGTTGGGTAAGGTGTAGCTTTCTGTCTGATCAAAGATAGGAGAGAGAGAGAAAGGCAAAGATTGGAGAGAGAGAATGGCGAATTAGTGGATCGATTAGATGAGAGAGAGACATAATGAGTAGTTGCAGAGAAGGCCCTGCTCTTTTGGAAACAGCCCGGAACTGCAGGGTCAAACAGAAGATCCGATCGTGGGTTAACCCATGACGCCCATTTTTCTCTCTCTAGTGATTAAGGCTTGTGTTTGTTTGATTCATCCCACCAATTACAATTAACAGTTTGTAACTTTCGTAAATTGCCTTTTTTTTAGGTGAAATCTGAGCAGCCCACATGTAATTTCAAGGAGAAGAAGTTGCAGGAAAATATCAGATTAGTGACAATAATGGCCTTCTATTATCGAGCAAGGTCGCTTTTACGGGGTAAGTTTATAGTCTTCTATTATCGTGCAAGGTCGCTTTATGGGGTAAGTTTATAGTATGATCCATCGGACCTCGAGTAGTCTATGGATAGTGCCTATCACTGCCCAATAATGGAAGGAGGTAGGCGAATGAAATCGCAGCCGGTAACTAGGGTTATGTGATGTCCTGTGGTCCCACACTACCATTGTGGAACCATTGATTGGATCCGTTGTCATTTTTTAGACCATATAATTTCTTGCTTTGGTTATATTAGCAGTGGAATGGGGGGCGAGCTGTTATGTTTGAGGCATCAACCCATCTAGCCACTTATATTTCAACTCCATTGTTTTGTTAATATTTTTTATAAAATTATTCTAGACATAGTTGAAAGCAGTGAGAAAAGATATAAAGATTTATAGTTTCAATGAATATATGACTTTTAATAAAGCAGAATGGTGGATTAAGATTCGTATAGCTGAACTCAAAGAGTTGAAAAAAAGCTTTGAAGGTGATAATGTTGGCATTGTAACGACATAAATGCCCTATACCCAAATGATTTGATATTCAAATCGTACTATGAATGCCTTTTAGCAACATATAGGTGCTGCCTTGTCTAAAACACATAAAATTGGGATCATAGAATTTATATAGTCATATTTGTTCAAGTGAAGTAACCTCAAAAACATGTCATTTGAAATAAAAATAAGATGCATGAAAAGTGGTACAAGAAGAACAATTATGATAGTGTTTATAATGAAATTCTCCTAAAAGATGCTGCTCCAATGGCAAAAATGCCATGGATCACTTTGACGCCCTAAAAGAAAGGGAATCATAGGTCTTTATTAAAAAAAAGAAAAGAAGAAAAGGAATCATAGGTCTTTACGAAAGAAAAGAAAATGGTTTCATTCGGGCATGCGATTCAGAGGTATAAAGCATTCATCTTAAAGACGGATGCAAATAGGTGGTCAATTTAAAAACAATTGAAACTAACAGTTTAAATGTTTTCTCAATAAAATTATTATTTTTAAAATTTTTATTTTTTTATATCTTCATGTTAAAGATTACACATCCTTAAAAATCGAGTTAAAAAATCCATCTCAAAAATAGATTTTTAAGAAGTGCCTCATTTATCCATGGACTCATAGAAACCAGGTCCTTAAAAAAAATAAAAAAATAAAAGGAAAAGCAATCATAGGAATAAATATTGCATTGTGTTCTTGTGGAAGCACATGAATATAATGCACATCGAAGACATGCATAAATTGTTCGGAAACTTATAAAAGCCCCTCAAGACCACACTTTCTATGCAACTTACCCCAACTTAACTTTTTCTCTCATTTTTTTCCCCAAACAAACTTTCTATGCAAATACCCCCAAGGAAAAAGTTCATTTTTTTAGATGGAAATGCCCTCCTTGTATACAAAAATCATTTTGGACAAATTTGACATTGACTTTTGGACCCAGTAACACATTATTGGAGCGCACCATCACATTTCGGAGAGCACAAGTGGCGGTCCAGACTTCCTTTTTCAATTGCCAGACGGTACTTTACATAGTATCAGAGCTTTATGACCAGACCAAACTTTACATAGTGCCGGAGCCTTGATGCCTGACCGAACTTTACACAGTGTCGGAGCGCTACTGCTGCACCTCATTTACATGGTGCCCAAACCCCCTATTTTGATGGGATAATGGAGAGAGGGGCAAGTAAAGTAAGAGTAAGGGAGGGTAGTTTAGGTATTTTTTTATTTTTTATTTTTAGTTGAGGGTTTTTGCGTAGAAATTATATTTTGGAGAAAAAAATAGGAGAAAAAAAATAGGTTAGAAGTAAGTTACAGTTTTGAAGTTTTTTTTTTAATTTTCTCTTAATTATTCACCTTCCGAAAATGGGAAGCCAAATCAAAGTTAGAATGAAGTAGGTCCAAAGTCCAATACGCGCATGAGAACGCATTTACACAGGATTCGCCAATATTTGGATGGGATAGTTCACAAGGAACGTCCGTACGGTCGCCTTAAGATTCAAAACAAAGGACAAGCACCAAACGTTTGCAATTAATAAAATGAGAAAATCAATATAATTAATTATAATATAAACAAGTTTTGTAGGGAAGTGTAGAGCTACTTTGCGTTTTAAATTCCCATTGGATGGATGTGGTCTTGTTATCCTCTCTCCCCCTCCCCCACACGTGTATACTATGCTCCTTCGGGATCATATTGTACATTTATTCCCTCAGAAAAAATCCTTACTTGTGAGTTCTAGATAAGGATTTTTTTAATTCGAAATTTTTATGTGCCTAAATAAAATGACATATTGTACATTTATTCCCTCACAAAAAATCACCATATTGTGGAAAGGTTTCAATTCATACTGCCCCACTAAGAACTAATTCCTAAATTATTTGAAAAAAATGGATAGGGGCTGTCTTTCCTACTAAATTAAAAAAAAAAAAAAGATATTCGTTTTGCCTATGGGAGTAGATGGGAGTAGATAAATAGTACACTCCTAGGGAAAGAGGAAATCTTTAGGTATATGAGTACGTGTGAGACCTTCAACCCAAATAACAAAACATCCTAGAAATAGTCTTAAGACGTGTAGTAAAAGGTCCGACTAAAAAATAATAAAAGAAGACAAGTTAAAAAAAAAGAAAAAAAAGGAAGGAAAAATAAAATAAAATAAAATAATGACGCGTAGTTTAAAACGCGTTGTCTAGCGAGTGAACCTTTTAAATTACTATTTCTTGGGTGAATACCTTTTAAATTACTTTTTTTTTTGGGTGAATACCTTTTAAATTACTTTCATAAGAGACATGATTCGAATTCTAAAATATTTTACGCCACACGCCTAATTTTTTAAAATGTTTTATATGTATAGGCATGTATATTAGGATTCGGTGGGAGCATACTATACATTTATTCTCTTGGTCAGATGACCTACTAGGGAGATTTTTCCGATTTGAAAAATTTGAATCCCTGATGATAATTTTCAGCAGTTCCATCTCACTACTAAAAATTTAGACAGTCTCCATTCAAGTTTGAGATATTTTTTTCAAGCACATAGAGAATGCTATTTGGAATTTTTTTATTGAAGTTATTCGAAAAGGTCATATCTCCTAAATTTATTAGAGTCCTACCATTACTACTTGATTGGTTTCTCTCTCGAGAGAATGGATAGTTTGCTTCAGTCTGAGCATTAAATCTGGCTTCATCTGAGAATGCATTGGAAGGGAAGAAATGTCTATAAGAGAGTAAGAAATCAATAGCTATTTTCTCTCTCATATTTGCGGTTTATATAGAGCCTAGGCTCTAAACAATCAAATTAGAGCTTACCTTCAAATACTATCGAGAAATGTGGTTTCAATACTAAAAATCATTGTGATGACCTTAAAATATATTTTTATCTTTATTTATAAAGTTTAAAGATTAAAAAATAGTGTAGATTGATAGATTTATGAAAACTTGAAAATGTTAAAAATTGACGGTCCAAAAATGCTTTATAAAATACACAATTCCAAAAATTGAAATCCATTTTTTTTCTGAAGTCCATGCATCTTGATGTCGAGATGATCAATTTGAGGATATTTGGGCATCAGAACAAACTCTTCAGGTGAAATTTTTGAGGTTGGCTCTAATTTGATTGTTTAGAACCTAGGCTCTATGTAAATTTTTCCTTTTAAAATTTTAGGTTTGCTAAAAGTTTTTCAAATGAATTTATGACCTATTTTTTTTCTTTTAAGAGTAGATTGGAAGGATAAAGCTATTTTTTAAAAAAATACATCAAGTCGGGAAAGGAGCTGGGTGGTGGTGGTAGCACCCCTGTACTTTAGTCACCTATTGTGGTTTTCATTCCTGCTAACATTACCTCAATAACACATTAAAAAAACCAACTCCTAAATTATTTGAAAAAAATAAGTAGGGGCCTATCTTTTTCTAGTTAATCGCCCAAAAAAAAAAAAAACAAAGAAGAAGAAGAAAAAAAGGGGTACAAGAGAATACTTATGAGAAATATATTTCCCAAGCTTATTCTTTCCCAATGTTTCTAGAGGAAGCAATAGTTGTAATAAGTGAAAAAAGACTTCCCTGCATTTGATATATTCTCTAAGATTTGACGTGAGGATAAGGCATAAAAACAAAAGACAAACACTATTAAGGGGAATATTAATAATAGTCATGCGTTAATAATTAATAATAATCATGTGTTAATGTTAAAAAAAAGGGCGGAATATTGAAAAGTTTCGGCCAAATTCTATCGAGTCTTGCCCATGAAGGAGTTTCACCGGTTGGAATAAGTACCCTGCTCACTTAAAGAACAATGTAGGAAAAATCAAATCGGAATCGTTAACCGGACATGGGTCCAAAAGTGGTTTAACTGGCCTACTCGGTAAACCGATCGGTTCAACCGTTCTACCAGGCAAGTCCTTGACGGTAAAAAAAGTGTTAAAAACATACAAAAATAACAAAAACCAAATCTAGTAAAATATGAAAAATATAATTAAAAAATGATTAAACAAAGCACATCCAAATGAAGTTGAAAATTAATGAAATAAATGAATTTTAAAGAATCAATTTGTGTACAGGGTATTTTTGAAATTTTTTAAAATAGATGAAAAAATATAAAAATAAATATTAATGGCCAAATCAATTTTCAATTTTTCCTATGATGATGAAAAACAATAAAAAATACATTACAAATAAAATCTCTTATTTTTTGAGATTTTACATAATTTTTTAATTTTTTTTAAATACTCGACGAGTCACTAAAATTCGATCTAATCGG